ACTTGAATGAAAACTTCTATGCAGGTTTAGTCTGTTTATATAAAGTGGTTTAATATTAGAGAGGAGGAACATTTTAAAGATTTGCTATGCACTGAGTCTGCCATTAAATTGACATTTAAAATCTTATTAACATTTAATTCCCTTCTTTTTGATCTAATTAACATCAGTGGATAACATTTTTACATATAAAATAAGTATTATATGTGGAACTCTTTTAAAAACTTTTAGTACTTTTAATGGTTAACTTGTGAAAAGAGTTAATTATAGCATTATATTTAGATCTACAGCAGATCGTGGCATGATACCGGAATGAGGATACTGTGCCTTTAACTTGACAAGTGAGGTGATAGGGTAGATGCCGTTTAAAGGGCATACTGTATATGAACTTGTTGCAAATATGAACTCTAACCACCGATTCTTCACATGCTCGTCCCTGGTATATGAAAACAAAGTGGCTGAACTATCTTTGCATTGTAGAACACAGCGTCTTCTAGACATGATGCTATGATGAAGTATTTGAATGTGTAGACTTCAAGTTTACACTTCTGTCTGCGAGCGCAGTAACTGGGCTCGGCCATGTATCTACATCACGATGTAACAGCTAATGACTCGTTAAAAAAAAATTCATTTCATAGACTCAGAGTCGACTCTCACTTTTGAAAGACAATAACTTTATATACAGTGCACTTTCAGATATAAATCTTTACAGGATGTTTTCATTCCCTTAGAGCTATATTCCATACCATATGAACAGTCATTTTCAAAAATCCATGATAGGGGCTCGTTAATTCAAAATTAGGCTGCATAGTTTAGATCAGCCAGAACCGGGAACACGTCCTGTACATCCTGATGTACCTGGTACATCATAAGAAGGATGGTGTCTACGCTAATATTAGTCTCTCTGTTTATCCCTAAGGGACCATCTATGGTGGTCCTGCACCTGGACCCATCAAAACTCATCCTTAAATGCCAGCCTCATCGACACGACAGCCATCGGCACTGATCCCCAACAACTCGTCTGCATACCACCGTGATTACTTGGTCTTCCAAACAGATGGAAATGGATAAATACTCTAAATGTTCCGATCTAATCTGACTTGTAATCCTGCCCAAATCATACACTGTTCCTCATACACTGATTACGTCTGATTTCTCCCAAGGTTTTTTTTTTTTTTCTCCATTCTGTCACCTGATGGAGTTTTGGTTCCTTGCCACTGTTGCATTGCCTTTTGGCTTGCTTAGTTGGGGACATTTAATATTCAAGAATGTTATTGATCTGCCTTACTTAAGGTGGACATTGACACAGTTTTCTTTTAGAAACAAACTTGTTGTATTATTTTCACGTTATCACTGTGAAGCTTCTATCGATACAATCTGTACTGTAAAAAGCTCTATATAAAAAAGGTGACTTGCCTATGTTCCATAGCAGTTTTCCAGCATCCCTCCACCATCTCCTCACTTCTAACTATTCCTATCCCACCCTAGTATGAGGGGAGTTCTCTGTGAGTTCTCTCTAAATTCGGAGTTCGGAGCCCTTCCCACGGACAGTACGCCAAATACGCATTACTTTTACTCAAGTAAATTAGAACTTATAAAACTATAAATAAATGCAAAATGTAGCCACAAGCAGCAATCATCAGGGTCCAAGCACCAATGGCCCATGATTTAACGGCCACTGTCCTAGTCATCTCAGAGCTCAAGAGAGCGGTCACCACAAGAGAGTGGTATCCACAATATTTTGTGCACTTGAACAAGCCCCTCTAGGGCAACACTTTCATGATTAACATACTCACTATTTACTACTCTCTTTCTTTTCATTCATTCATTCATTCATTCATTCATTCATTCATGTCACACATTCATTCATACGCATGTGAAATTTTGAGATCTGAAACCCTATTATCTATTTTTTTAAAAATCTAGATTTGTTTTGGCGAAGCTCTTTCTCTGATCACCATCACAGGTTTGACTCAGCAGCGCACGCAAACATTTTTAAATTAATAAGCTAAAAAGTCTCTTATCTAATAGGCACTACTTTGTTAGCCCACCAGACACGGCTCTCAGTCCAGTCAGGCCCCAGGCCGGTCATGGCTGCCACTCGCCAATTTTATGTTGTGAAGAAAAGCCATCTCGTTCTTTCAAATGAAGCTCAAGTTCGAGACGTCAAAATAAGACTTTATTGAACTATGCAATAAAGCAGAGATGCCTGCAGGACATATGAATTTGTCTCATTCGCAAATCACACTTTTATACAGTTTTAAACAATGATCACATTTGCAGGTGTTCTCCTCTTCCTGGAATCTCCTCAACACTTTTGTTTTGACACAGTAACTTCATTTAATTGGCTATATTTTTGCTCTTTTAAGGGTGGCCGACTGCCAACCAGTTAAAACATTTTTTAGATTATCCCACAAAGTGATTATTCAATGTTTTTGCCTTATTGTTTCTATCAAGAGACCACGCTGAAGGCGGTGTGAACCAAAAGAGCAACTTACTACCGGTGCAGATGCCAATCGCAAGTAACTTCAGCTAAAATCTCATTCTTTCCTGTGTTTCACTCACAGTAATTTAGGCCACGGAGCCTTCAAAACACATCTGGCTTTTATAGCATTAAAGAGCAACATGCAGGTTGAATTTATTTCTGAATTAATACTTTAAATGTCTGCAGAGGTCTTTGTAGAAATGACTAATGAAATCTCATTTGATGTACAGATATTGATGAAAATGCGCTAGGCTCTGGAATACGCCTTTTTCCGAGCAACACATCATACGACGTAGCAGGGGCCCCGCTAAGGGGGGAAAGTTAGGACGATAGTACACTTTTAGGGCCCTCAGAGATCGATTTTATTAATTGAACGGGTGCAGTAATAGGGGCCTTACCTCATTTTTAAAATTTTTTTATGGGGCCCAAAATCCCCTGGGGCCGCACCCCTGGGCCGAGGCAAATAAAAGAGCTCGCGGTCAGTTTTCTCATTGTTGAGTGTTGATGTAGTTAGAGCAGTAGTGAGAGACAGAAAGTTTTAGATCGAGTTTTAGAAAAGTCATAATGGTAAATTATTGTGTTTGTGCTGGTTGCACGAATTCCAGCCTGTTTGTGTCCATAATTTTCCTTCTAGAAAAAAACAAGGCTTTTCGGTCTTGGGTGCGTTTTGTGCAGGTGAAAAGAGCAGACTTGCCGCATCTGTTACCACACACTCGGTCGTTTGTGGCGCACATTTCACTCGCTTTGAATGGTATCACTAACTGCAGTTGAAAAGCAAACCGAGCTAAAGCGAGCTGAGCCGCGTGCCGTGAAAAAGCTGAGTCATACCACGCAGTGGAAAAGCGAAGCAAGCCGAACCATACCGAGCCGTGCCATGTAGTGGAAAAGTGCCATTAGACTGTTCTTATTGTAGCTAAGGTATTGTCATTGTTTATTTTTTGTTATGGTCATTAGTCAATGTAGATAGTGCTAACCAGCTTGGATGGATGATCACTGCCAGCGTAGAATATGAGAAGACAAAACGTTGCTTAAATTAAGACAATCTAAATGGATGTTTAATCAAGAACAAGGTCGAGCGTATTTTTGCTAAAGCAGATTTATTACAAAACACCAAGGTACTAGCCATACAGTAGATGAACCAGCGTTAGCCACGGTGCTAGCTAACTTAACCTTACATTAACTCACCAAGTCACTTGCCCTATTTGCCACTTTTCTTGACACCACGACTCTAACGTTACTTCTCTCCTCTGCCCATTGTTCCTCCCCTGATCTCCCCCTGACTTCTATCTCACCTAGGAGGCTCATAAATATAGGCCTGTGGGCCATCATAGGCATGTTCGTCAACATCGGAGAACTCGGTTTCTTCATTCGCATCCATTGTAACCTGAGCTTGAACTTGAACAGACTCCCTCGCCGATCGTCACTTCAGGTTAGTGCTTTATAGACGCGGGAGTTATTTTATCACAATTTTTCTCAAAATATGGTTAATGGCTAAATATATATCACTCCAGTTCAAAAAATCTAGTTGTTTTATCATTAACATACACTGCATAGTTAATTCCTATCTTACAGCCTCAAATGGTTCAGTGTCGTATAAAAAGTTTTCTCTATTGCAGTAATTTGTGAAAAAAAAATATGTTACACTAATATGTAATATAAGTTCAAAATATCTGTTTGTTTGGCAACATTTTTTTTTCTGTGGTTTTATTTATACATGGAAGTAGTTGTATCTAAGTCACCCCATTTTATCCCAGAAAATTAAATAAAATATTGCATTAAATATATAATTGGCCTTTTCACCTAATTTAATGACATTAATGTCACATTAAAATGAAATAAAAAACAGAAATAAAAAAGTAAAATAAAATAAGATGTCCTGAATTGGACCCATTTTCTTTATGCAAAATGTATTTAATATTTTAATATTCATATTTTTCTAACCCTGTTTGGATGAAATATCACACATTTTTTGTCAAGTGTTGTTTGTGTCCATAAAGAACACACCTATACAATATTTTTTTGTCTTTTCTATTCTCATTTATAATGTTTTATTTTCACCAACATGTCAAATTAAATATTACATCTTTTATGGAATATGCAACTGGAAAATTCATTACATGAAGGCTTGTCAACAGAGTTTTGACTGTCACACATCTAATACAATGCAGGCTGTCTGGTACCTCCATAATTTCTCAAGTGAACGCTATGGCCTCTCTGAGGGGCACTGCTCCTCTGGGGCACCCACTTCTAACAATCCATGCATAGGCCTACTCACTTTCTCTATTCAAATGTTTAAAAAAGTGCTTCCCCTACAGAGAGCCCCCAAACACAGCACTCGTTAATAAAAAAAAAGAGTAAAAGGGGGGAGAAAACGTTTATAAACAATTGGAAAAAATGGTTTGGCAGAGGAAAAAAAAGAGTGGAGGAGGAGAGTATATGAGGAGGAAAGGGAGGGAAATAAAAAAGAGCAGCTGGCAGGAGTGAAGCCTGATATTACAGACCGCTGCTCCAAACCAGATGCTCAGGAACCTAAACCAAAAGCTAAACTCAGACGAGAGAGGAGACACATTGTGTGTACTGGAAGAATGAAATGAAATAAAAAAGTTTTCACACTCTTTATTTTTGTGTCGGACTGAAGAATCTAATAATGGCCCTACAAAATGGAATGGGACGTTGATTTTTGCAAGCATTTTGCTTGGCTGAAAAAGGTAAGCATGTCGGTTTCTGCTCACGGAATGCTTAATCTTGAATTTGAAATACTTTTGAAATAACTTTTTTTTTTTAAGGGAGGGGAAGGGAGGGGGGAGGGTATTAAAGAAGCATATTTTTATAAAATGTATACAGTGATACATGCATGACATTAAGAGAATTATGAGTGCCATATCTAGTGTAACATAGGTTTTATACAATTGTTCCATAGACAGGAAGTTCATTTAGTATTTTTCAAATGTGACCCAGCAGGTTTAGAGTGGAGTGTGAGTTTAGCTCCAACCCGAATAAAAAACACCTAAATTGGAGAATCAGGTCTTCGAGATTGTTTGAAATTCACAGGTCAGTTTGTTGAATCAGGTTGAAAATAAACTTTCCTTGAGAGTGGGTTTCCAGGAGCAAGGTTGAAGACCTCTGCCTACCAAAAAATAGATAAAATAAAATAATAATAAAAAAAATTCTGAAAGTTAATAGATTTAGGCTGCCAGAAGGAATACTACTTTTCAGCGATTCAATTTATGTACAAAACTTATTTTTAACCCTTTCGCACATACGATCACACCAGTGTGATCATCTTAGACTGGTCCCTGGACCGTCTGATCACACCAGTGAGATTAGAGCTGTCAGTGCATCACATGATAAACTGCAAAATTCATATGTGATTTTGTCCTTTGGCTGGAGCTAAGCCAGAGACGGACATACTCAGCAAATATCATACAATCACAACGAATCAGTGTTTCCAACCACATAATGTTTATTTTAGATTTCAGGCATTTAAATTCACAAAAGTACGAATACATTTAGAGTTTGTAAAATACACACTGATGTCTATGGAAGCAGCAATAATAATCCTTTCAATTATAATTAGATGACATGTTTTATTCATATCAGATACACATTGAGTTTACTCTATTCTTCTATCAGTTCAATGACCACTTACTTTCATACTCACTTACATGAATTCACGTGTTTCTAAATCCAACAGATGAGATTCTCTGAACTGCGGCGCAAACTAACATGGCGGTGTCCATCGCATTTACAGTAGCTCAACTATCGCGATTGTTATAAAAGGGGTTGTTAAAACATCAATTTGCACATATTTGACAATCGGAATATACTATATTTAATGTTATAGTTAATTATAGTTAATTGAATATTTTGAATAAAAAAGGACGAATAAATAAAAGCAGATTATCAGTCATTCATTGCAATTGTGGCTGCAGTGTGTCATGTGACGATCACCATGGAAATAATAAAGTGATGCATTCTAAATAACGGTCACCTTGCCCCCCGCTTGGGGGTCAGCCTGAATATTTTAAACTTTCATGTGAAAAGTTTAATTACATTGCTCAGATCTTTTTTTTTATTCCAGCATCTTGACTCCCCTGGTGACTATTTGGATGTAAAATTGCTAATTAGAGAACGTAGTTGTTTAAGCAATTTTAAACCACTGAAAACTTCCATCACTATGCATAAAAATGGAAATCTGAACAAATTATGAAGAATGCATTAAAGCTTGGTATCTCTGGGAGAGTGATGAGGACAGACAAAGAACTTACCTAGGGCTTAAACATACACCAAACAAGAGGCACTGGCAAACAAGATGTAATATTTTAGTTGATATCACTTTTGTCAAAGCCCTAATTTCTGAGAGATGCACATAGACGACAACTCTACTATTTTATAATAATATCTGCTACTTTCATCCATAAACAGTCCTTCCAGCAAAACGCAGAGTTCACTTTCATCCTGGGAACTCCGACGTTTCATCGGGGGAGTTCCCTAACGAATTGGTATCATGCTAGGGAGCTTAATTGCCTTTGAGAGAATTAAAAATGAGCCAATAGAATTGGCATGCAAAATGGGTATAAAAGGTGGAAGTAAACATTGAATGACGCTTTTTTTCTTCAGAGCATCACAGTGTGTTCTCTGAACTGCTGTTCCTTGCCTAAAGGAAGGAGATAGAGAAGACGAGCCCTCTTGAAGGTAGAAGGTCCTCTGATTGTTGCTGGTGTGACGGCGCTTCAGTGATCGTCGCAAGTGAGTGCAGCACGAGGGCTTGCAGTTTCCCCGAGTGTCTGCCGCGGTGATTCCTCGGTGCTTCGGCACGTCAGAGCAATTTTTTTCTCTTTTCTTTTCTGCTTATCTAAAAGAGCTTCACGGGTGAGCGTCCTTTTCAGGATGTCATTTTACCCATGCGTTTCTGGATGTGGTCGAATTCTCCCTCGGGAAGATGGCCACAAACACTACCTCTTGTGCCTGGGCTTAGCAAATGCTGAGGCAGCATTTGTGGATGAGTCATGTTCTCATTGCGGGAATATGACTCGCGCAATGCAGCGTTTGAGCCTGAGAACCCTGAAACATGGGGGAGTCCCTTCAGATCCCAATCCTCGGTCTAGTTCGTCTGCTGGTTCAGTTCAGCAGACAGCTACTTCGGTGATTCATTTTGGTGAGCGGATTAGGATTACCATGAAGAATGTTCCAACTGGTGAAAGATAATCAGACTTCTCACACCTCTACTAGCTCGTTGCCATTGGCGTTTCCGGTGGAGCAGTCAGAGCTCCCTGGGCGGTTCCGGTTGTTGTCAGGCGCCGCCTGAGGATCAGATTTTGAGCATGGCTCAGCGGGAACTAACCCCTTCGGGTATGGTGGCTCCAGTTGAGCTGGATCCGAGAATTGGCGGCTACGCTCGAACAGACGGCTGCGAATGTCGGGCTCGTGTGGATCCCTCCACTGGGTCCTGAACCTTCGCGGCTGGATGATTGGTGTCTCGGAGCGGGCTGTGCTGTTGCCCCACGGCCCGCTCCAGTACCTTTCTTCCCCAAAGTGCCTGAGGAGCTGAGGAAGTCTTGGCTGGCCCCTCTGGCAACCAGACGTACTGTAGACAACCTCGCTCCTCCTTCCTCACCACCCTGGAAAGCAGGGCGGCGCACAGGTACGAGGGAATCCCCCCAGTGGAGTGCTCGGTTGCAATGCAGCTGTGTCTGAAGACTGCTTTCACTTGGCGGGATGCCCCTTTACTCCCCTCCCATGCCTGTAGGTTTTCCTCTGGTCTGAACAGGGATGCCTACAAGGCATGTGGATGCCATGGCGCCCTGCATGCCATGGCGCTTTTGCAAGTCCATCAGGCGAAGGTGCTCCATGACTTGCAGACGGGTGGCCCTGACCCAGCATTGCTGCAGGAGCTGTGTGCGGCGACGGGCCTCACTCTCCAGGTGACGAAAGTCACCATATGTTTGCTGGGCCGGGCAATATTCACTTTGGTGGTCCAGGAATGCCACCTGTGGCTATCCCTGGCTGAAATGCAGGAAGCGGAGAAGAACAAACTTCTCAACTTCCCTATATCCCAGGGCGGCCTTTTCGGTGACACGGTGGAGAGTGGAGACACGGTGGAGACACGGTGACACGCCCAGAAGCAGTCAGAGGCAATACGGCATGTCCCGCACAGGAGGCGGGCTGCTGTGAGTCCGTCTCCTGTTGCTGTTTAGCCTCCGGCTGCTCCCCATTGCCGAGGCCATCCTCCAGCACCAACTCCCCCTCCAGCACAATCTAACCGTGGAGGGAGGAAGTCTGGTCGTAAGAGGGTGGCCCAGCCTGCTCAGGCACCCCTGGCCCCTTCCCGTAAAAGGAAGGGAGAGAAGCGACCCTGAGACGGGTGACCTGGAGGAGAACTGGGATTCTGCTCTCCAGGAGGGTACTCCTGCACACCTCCTTCCCCCAGAGGAGGGCAGTTTCTACGTTCTCCTTCAGGTCATCCTCGGTCGAGACTAATGGGCACACAGTCTCCTCCACTCAAGAGGGTCAGAACGGCAGTGGATGCTATCTCCGAGCAGCATCCCTCTCATTCCCCTCTCCCCAGTCTGCAGATAGCAGCAACGCTTTTCTGAATGTGTCGCTCCTATTGGCGGCTGGGCCGCGAGGGGCAGAGACTACCTCACGAGGAGGCAGGGATCGGGCCCTGCACAAACTCCTGTTCAAAATGCTCATGCAGAAGCCCATTTTCGAATTCATCCATCCCCAGGATTGGTTTGCGATCGACCTGAAGGAGGCGTACTTTCACGTCTCGGTTCTTCTTCGACACAGACCATTTCTACGGTTTGCTTTCGAGGGTCGAGCGAATCAGTACAAAGTCCTACCCTTCGGGCTGGCCCTGTCACCCCACGTCTTCACGAAAGGTGCGGAGGCGGCCATTGTTCCCATTAGAGAACAAGGCGTTCGCAATCCCGATGAGTGGCTCATTTTGGCTCACTCGCGAGATGTGTTGTGTGATCACAGGGACATGGTGCTATGGCACCTCAGCCGGTTGGGGCTTCAGGTCAACTGGGACAAGAGCAAACTATTCCTCGTGCAGAGGATCTCTTATCTCTGTATGGAGTTGGACTCGGTTGCCCAGACGCCGCGCCTCACGGAGGAACGCGTCGAGTCAGTGTTCACCTGCCTCAGGTCCTTGCGAGGCAGGACGGCGGTTCCACTGAAACAATTTCAGTGGATCCTGGGGCATATGGCAGCCGTGGCCGCAGTAATGCCACTCGGCCTGTTACATATGAGACCGCTTCAGCACTGACTTCACGATTGAGTCCCGAGGCGTGGCATAGCGGATCGTTCTGGGTCAAAGTAACCCCACACTGTCCCCAAACATTCTCCCCATGGTCGGATCCTGCGATTCTTCGGGCCGGAGTGCCCCTAGTCTGGGTTTCCAGGCATGCTGTGGTTTTCACAGATGCTTGTGCCATGGGGTGGAGGGCCACATACAAAGGGCATCCAGTTTCGGGTCTGTGGACTGGGCCCCAGCTGCATTGGCACATCAACTGCCTGGAGTTGCAAGCAGTACGCTTAGCCTTGTATCACCTCAAGGGTCTTCTCAAGCACAAGCACGTACTGGTCCGTACAGACAGCACTGTGACCATTGCGTACATCAACCGACAAGGTGGTCTACACTCCCACCGCATGTCTCGACTCGCCTCCCACCTCCTCCTATGGAGTCAGATACATCTGAGGTCGCTTCGTGCCACTCATGTTCCAGGGGAGCTCAACTGTGTGGCAGACGAGCTTTCACGGTTGCCTCCCCTGCCAGGAGAATGGCGACTCCATCCCCAGGCGGTTCAGCTAATTTGGAGTGTTTTCGGAGTCGCACAGGTAGACCTGTTTGCCTCTTCGGACACAACCCATTGCCAGTGGTTTTACTCCCTGTCCGAGGGGACCCTCGGCACAGACGCCCTGGCTCACAGCTGGCCTCTGGACCTGCGCAAGTATGCGTCCCCCAGTGAGCCTTCTTGCACAGAATCTGTGCAAAGTCAGGGAGGACGAGGAGCAGGTCCTGTTAGTGGCACCATATTGGCCCACCAGGCTTTGGTTCATGGAATTCATGCTCCTCGCGACAGCCCCTCCTTGGTCGATTCCTCTGAGGAAGGACCTTGCTCAGAGACGGGGCACTCTATGGCACCCGCGTCCAGACCACTGGAATCTCCATGTCTGGTCCCTGGATGGGAAGTGGAGGTTCTAGGTGATCTACCACTGCCTCTATGCATTGAAGTGGAACCTTTTCGATGAGTGGTGTCCCTCAGAGTCGTGCTTTCCTTCCTACGAGATGGGTTGGAGCGAAGGCTGTCTCCCTCCACCCTCAAAGTGTATGTTGCTGCAATAGCCGCACATCACAATGCAGTAGAAGGTAAGTCATTTGGGAAGCATGGCCTGATCATCAGATTCCTTAAGGGTGCTAGGAGGTTAAATCCACCTTGTGTTTTGCACTCTGTACCCTCTTGGGACCTAGCCCTGATATTTAGGGCTCTTCAAAGTCTTCCCTTTGAGCGTTTGTTGACAGTAAAGCTTAATATCCTGTCCATTAAGACAGCACTCCTGTTGGCCTTGGCCTCTTTCTAGAGGGTTGGGGATCTGCAGGCTTTTTCGGTTGACGAATCATGCCTAGAGTTCGGGCCGGGCCTTTCTCATGGGATATTGAGACCCCAGCTTGGATATGCGCCTAAGGTTCCTACATTGACAGAATTTGTCTTTGTCTGTTACGGAGGCCAGCAGGAGGGGAAGGCTGTCTCCAAGCAGAGGTCAGCTCACTGGTTAGTGGATGCTATCACCCGAGCAGATGAAACTGTGGGTGAGCCTTGTCCTCCCAGGTTGCGTGTTCACTCTACTAGAGGTGTTGCCACTTCCTGGGCTTTGGCTCAAGGCGCCTCGCTGACAGACATTTGTAGAGTTGCGAGCTGGGCAACACCGAACACTTTTGCTAGATTATATAGCCTACGTGGAGAACCTGTTTCCTCCCGAGTACTTGCTACGGCCAGTGGTGCGAGGGAATAGGTTGTGTCGAGTTGCTACGCCACTCCATGCCTCGGCCGGATAGGTGCATCTTTTTGCTCCATTGGCGCTCTACGTCGGTGAGCCTCGTGAGTTTCTCCATCACCCCTCATACACCCAGCATACACCCAGCATTGTTTAGAGTGTATGCTCTCACTTCCCTTGGATTGGGACTACCGCAGGGACTGCCAGATGTTTCACTATCCCTCTGGGCTAGTACATATGTGTATTCCAGGTCTTCACCAGGCGGCTGGCTTCCACAGCGTTCCCTTCCCTTTTTTCGGGTTAGGGCACGCTTTCCCAGTTTTATCCAATGTCCACTGAACGGGTCTTGCGGAACAGCAGTGTGACTCCCTAGCTAACTCCCATAATTTATTAAGAAACTGCTGCAGGGTAGCTTAGCTGGGCGCTGGAAGGGGTCAGCACCATGGCGTATTATTAGGGATCCCAATTCTTCAGGAAACTCCAACCCAGGAAACATTTTAAAATAATAAAATAAACCCATGTCAGGGGACCTTTAAACTGAAGTCACTTTTCTGCCCTGTATAATGCATAATATTTTTCACAGCTTTTTTGCCTTTATACTCCTAAATTGCAAACATGCACATTATTTAATTACATTTGGTGCACATGCATACAACACACATTTAATAAAACATCAGAACAACCATTCAGGTTCTTTGAAGTTTTCTCTGGCATAATGCAGACCATTCACAATGTTTCACATTGTAGCACAGATCAGAAATTCAAACTTAAATCTTTTTAGTATACTATTTCACACATCATTGACATTCCATGTCCCACAGCATTACTGCATGGAGCCTGAGCACAAAAACCTGATTAGAAACAATAAACCTCTTAAGAAATTCCTTTTTTAACCGTAGGTGGGTTGGGTAATGTGAAGTTTTGTAATGTGAAAACTTGCTGTGACAAATTCAATAGAAACTGAATCAGGATTATGAAAAACTGTAAAAGCCATTTACTGTTCACATCTGTAAAGGTAGCTGTGGCCTTTATGCTGCATACTTTATAAGATTTAGCTTTCTTCTCTGCTGATTGTAAACATAACTCTAAACACCTGTGAACTGCAGGTCAACGTGCAAGGCCCAGGCAACGGTGAGAGCTACCAGGAGCGTCTGTCTCGTCTAGAAGGGGATAAAGAGTCTCTTGTTTTACAGGTAAAACATAGGGCAGTCTGTTACAGATCATTTCCTAATGTCCATCTAGACTGTATACAAATAGTTTAGATATCAGTATTGTATGAAATTCAATTGAATTCAAAATACTGTACATAATCAACACTGACAGAAAAAGGTAAACCTTTTAGACATATTGTGAATCATTTGATGACCACCCTTACGAAAAAAAAATAAGTATACTTCAAGTTAATTTAAGTGTACTACTATCAATTTACTAAAAGTAAACTTGTAATTGTACTGTTTCAATACTAAATGTCAGTTTTATAAATACATTCTGCAAAACCTGTTTAGTTGTTGGATAAAATAATTGAAGCCATTGTACTACAAGTGTACAAAACACACTTGGGGAAAAAAAGCCAGTACACTCGTGGTGTTTCATGGGAACAGACAAGGCTTTACGGATTAGTCCTGTTCTAGCTTGTTGGGTTTTTGACAGTAAGTACATGTGCTTAGTAGGTGCTTGCACTGCGTATTCCTGATCAACTGGGTTGACGAGAAAACGCTAAATTGCTTTAATTCGTTTAAAAATCTGTTTGTTTTACATATGGATTTAGTCTGACTCTGAGTAAAGTAATGAGTTGACTGAGATTAATGTTTTTCTGATAGACTTGAAAACAACTTTAGTAGGACAATGGACAAAGATGATGTACCTCAAATGAACAAACTTTTAAACGTGTTTCTCAGGTGAGTGTTTTGACACATCAGGTGGAGGCTCAGGGAGAGAAGATCAGAGACCTAGAGAATTCTCTTGGGGAATATCAGCGCAAACTCAGCTGCACTGAGCAGATGCTTCAACAGGTATTGGTAATTTTTATTAAAATAGAAGATTATTTTCATATTTTTATTAGAAACCATTTAAAACATTTAATAGTTGTTGTGAATCCATCACAAACTCTCAGAGAGATTTTAGTCTACATGAAAGGATCATTTGAAATCATTATATATATACACACACACACACACACACACACATTATATAGGTATAGTAATACATTCATTAGTCATACTTTCCACCAGCACTTTTACTATATTTAAATGAAAGATTTTAACTGGCCCACATTTTAATAACAGCTTCTTTGCCAAGTCTGAATTTAACTGTGTCAGATTTACAAAGCTAACAATACTGATATGCGCTGTGCAAAATGTGAAGATCAACCTTTACACATTTACTCTTTATCATTAGTTCTGCTTTTTATGACAAACCCTGCTTACATTGCTTTCACCCTGACTGGGCAGGGCAAGTTTCTTAATAGGCTTGGTGGAATTAATCAGCCTGGGTTTCTGTTTTGGTGGTTTCTTATTTGATTTGTCACTTTTTTTCTTTTTTGTTGATTTGTGATTCATAAAATATAAACTATAGTTGCTCTAGATTTTCCCTTTAAACTGCTTTTGTTTTAATTCTAATAGTTTATCTAAGGCATCAGCTTAGATTTAATAGAATATTCTGCACCTGGTATGCCTGAAAATGAACTTTTGCATCTGTAAGGAAATTTTTGGGTGGGATTCCAGGAGTCTGGTCATCAAATTACCTCGGCATCCCACATTTTTTAAGTGGTGGCAGTATTCCAAGGCCTGGGTTGATTTGCGAATTAGAATTAGCTTGGGAATTAGTTGACATCAGGCAACCTGTTTTTTTTTTTTTTTTTTTTTTTTCTTCTTCTTCTGTAATCAGCCAGTCAGTGAAAGAGGAGGGGAAGGGGAAATAAATATGAATGTGTCCAGCAGGAAAAAAAATGTAGTATTTTTAGAAATGTAGTGTATAAATAAGTGAGAAGTGAGAAAAGCAAAGAGTGGTCTTAAAGCTTTGACGTTTTAGTAGACCTGCTAGAGCCATTAGGACCATTTATAAAGATAAACTCTTTCAAGGCATGTTAAGACTCCTGTACTTATCCAGACCATTTTTAAAGACTAAATTCACATTCCTCTGCTTCTAAATCTAATTTTCCTTGTAAGCTAATTGCATATTTCTGTTTAACTCGCATTTGCTTTGAAAGCTCTATGGCTGATTACATCTCCACCCTTCAGATTTTAAGTTTTTTAGGGCATGTGCCTGTGGTCATTGAGGTTTTGGCCTTCAAAGGCAAATCCAATTCCAGTGACACAGGCCTAATATTTTCCATATGCTATCTTTGAAAGTCTCAAAGCTCACGTAAAACTCCTCAGCACAAGCTACCGACAAGCTATTTCAGTTTTTTGGGGGCTTCTGTATTGTAAAATAGATTCCTGTTCAGTGTCTGAGTTTAACCATCTAGATCAAAGAAGGAAAGAGGCTGCTTTTATGTTTTACACCAGGGGTGCTCAAACTTTCATGCCAAGAGTTCAGATCAAACACTTTTTCAGATGACTTGCATTAAAATAAACCCCCCAATCGATTAAAATCAGGACTGTATAGCTGCTAGTGGTATGCAGGCATTCAGGTGATCATCAGTTATGAAATCTGAATTTGGATTTTATTGTCTTCATAGGAAATACTTCTTCACAGTTAATTTACCCAAGCATGGTCAACCTTTCATGTCAAATGCACACTTTCTGATGTTGAAAAATCGTATAAAAATATATGTAAAATATTTTTAATTGTGTCCGTGATTCAGTGTTTGATACAACAATCTGTTCAATCACTTCATTTTAATACCTTTTCTGTTTACTATCCTCAAATGTGATGTACTTTTCCCACCACGATCAGAACTCTCTCTCTCTCTCTCTCTCTCTCTCAGTCCCTGCAATGTGTCAGTCCCTGCAAGAGAAGTGGATAAATTTAGCCCTCATAACCTATGTATATTTAGCCATTGCGGAACAGCAAAGTACAGATATTTTGAACGGACTGTATGCCTTCTTCAGTGGATGGTTTCTTAGTTTCACTTATTTGTGAATAAGCTATATATTTTTGTGTGTGGACTCTAATAGGAACTTCTGGGCAGGAGTTCTCTAGAGTCACAGAAGTGGGGGTTGATGAAGGAAGTGTCCTATCTAAAACTAAAACTGGGGAACATGGAGGACAAACACATCAACATTGCTGAGAGACAACATAAAGCTGAGGTACAACTATGATGAAATTTAAGAAGAACCTTATAATATTCAGAGTGCACACAAAGTAGTTTAAAAGATGCATTAATGACTGCTTATAATGTAGACATTATTATTGTCATTTCACATCAATTTTCAGTCACTAAAGACCCATGGTCTTATCTCCCCAAGCCTTTTAATTCAGACAAAAATTAAGAATCTGTGCTATATAGAATTCAAATTCTGCAGAATTTGTGCCAGCGAAATGGGAATTTCAATGCAGTGCTGATACTGATCTAGAGAGAAGGGGTAATGAGCGGTAATAATATTTATTATTTAAAACTGCTATAATGAAATGATGTGACCTAATTTCATGCACAAGCACAATACCACTAATGTTAAGGTGGGGATAGTTGTTGTCCAATAATCTCAAAAGAACAATTTTAGTCTATCAATACTTATACTGTAAGAACTGTGGGTGTAAGTTATTTCAAAAGCTACACTGAAAGCTGATTTGTGTTCAAATCATGATTACCCACACAGTATCCTGGAAAAGACATTTAGTCACTTACTTCTTTAACAAAGTATCAATACATAATACTGTAAGAACTATAGGTATGTAAAAGATGTGAAAAAGCAAAGTTAATCCTTCCAGAGACAACACTTTTTGTATTAAAACTGTGAAGTGTTTTGAATCAGAATATTCCAAACAAAGTCTTATAAACTGTACTGTGTGTTGTCTCGATGGATTCACTTTGTTTTTTCACATATTTTACATACCTACAGTTCTTACAGTATAGGTATTGATAGACTTTGCCAAGTGACTAAATTTTTTTTTTGTTTGTTTTGTTTTTTTTCCCCCAGGTTACAATGTGGGTAAGACAGTTTATAAGACTTTGTTTGCAATATTCTGATTCAAATATTGCAAACAAAGTCTTATAAACTGTACTTTGTGGAGCAAATTAAAGTTGTTAAACAAAAATGTGCTGGCACAAAAGCAGTGATTTGAAATAAATGCTTGTAAGCTAGTTTATGGGCTTATGTCAACAAATGTGTCTTTTAACTGTGTGCTATTTCCATGTAATTACTATGTTTATAGTGACTACTGTGGTATAGAACTAGTTGATTTAAAATATACCTTTCCCCTGGAATTACGATGTGCTGGCATGAGCTGTATGTGTTTGTGCGGTTGTGTACCTTTCATTTAAACATGATGGGGTGCATTCAACACAAGCAGAACAAATTTCTGTGTAATTAACTAGAGAGGTATCGAAGCTGAGTCTAACTGACAAATAGCCAGAATGTTTTTAGCATGGGGAGAGTGGAATGACCTCAATGTGACGTCTGACAACTGCTTGGCTTCATACAGTGAAAGAATGGCACCAATCCACCCGTGATCATTCCAGTAGCATGCCATTCTCTCTCTCTCTCTCTCTCTCTCTCTCTCTCTCTCTCTCTCTCTCTCTCTCTCTCTCTCTCTTTCACACACACACACACACACACACACGAGGTCTTCTACCTGCTATAGATAGGCCAGTTTACCATCTAGTTTACCACACTGTTGGTGTCCAATGGCGTCTCAGATGAAAGTTCTTTCATGATGGACACAGTGACTATTAACTTTTATTAGAACACAGCTCCATTTGGTGTGAAAGATGTTACAGGAAGCTGTGTTTGACATTTGAAATTCTTGAATTTTGTAAACTTTATAGCTGTCTTTGCTTTTGAAATTTACAGTTATTTGTGTCACAGCTTTTGGTGCCTGACATACTAAGCAATTTTTTTTAAGCCATTAAGCTATTATGGTTCACACAGGAAAGCCAAGTTCCTCAGCTAATGGCAGCTTTATGAATTAAATTATCAGTTAACTTGATATGTTTTTAAATATTAGTACCCAGACGATGAAGTTATTTTAAACGCTACATTAGAAGCTGGTTTGTATTCAAATCATGGTTACCCACACAGTATATCCTGGAAAAGACATTTAGTCACTTGGCTCTTTAACAAAGGCTTTTTATATTTGAGATCTTGGCTTGTGAGAAATGTACTCGTCTAAAGAAGTTGATTTCAGAAAGCCCAGGCTGATGGGAGCAGGCAACATGTTTTCTCATTGTGGTTTGTTCGACTAGTAGATGTGCTGTTGAATAAAGTTTATGAATGTCATGAAATGGCCCACCCTAACCATGCGAGTGACCCAGAAAAGCAGAAAGAAACAAAAAACAATTTGTAAAAAGCTGACATGGTCTTGCGATTATACTTAACTGTTTGGTAGTTTTGGTTAGCTACTCACCTTGCTATTTTTGTAAAAATACTAACCATTTCTTGTTTTTATGGGATATTAAGGGGCATTTATGTAACATTATTTCAAACACATCCAGAGTTATATTATGTAATAAATCTTAAATAATCTCATATTTCAACTAGACCTAGTGTGTGTAATACTACTGAACTGTGTCTATGCGTAATGACAACGAATGATAGATAATCACATCATCTTATGTTACTATTGCTAATGGCTTGGAAAAGAAAAGGACTCCAGGAAAGGATATATTAGGACGTACATCAAGTAAAGATGACGAGAGATTTTAAAATCTAGTTGATCAAGTAACCTGCATAGCACAGATAGGAAGGAAAACACTGCATGTGTGCTTCCCATAATCCATTCTTTCCACTCTCTTTTACCTTATTTAATTTGGTTCTTCCTCTCTTTACTATTCCCTCTCTGACAGAGCGTAGTGAATCTGATTAGCGAGCTTCAGGAGCAGATGTGTAGGATTCGGCAAGAGATCTCTAGTAAGATCCCAGAGAAGCCAGTGGAGATGGTCCCAGAGGAATGTTGTAGCAGTGACCAAGTGCAAGCCTTTCTGACTGAGCCAAAGCCAGTGGTAGGTCTAAGATCTGGACATTTAGACAAACTCAAACACTGTGGAATAAGTGTAGGCAGCCCTTGTATCTCCTAGTCTGCTGCTGCCAAAATATTGTCTGTGCTTATGAATTAGAATTAGAAATGTATTGTTTAATAGGGATGACATCTATTTATAATTATCTATTTGTTATTCATCAACAATGCTTGTTTTAGTATGAGCTTTAATAATGCTCATTGACCACACAATATTACTATGTTTTTTCCATTTATTTTCTCCTTAGGTTTGTAAGGCAATATTTGCAATGCATTTCAAATGTTGCATTTCTTTGTGTTTTATGTTCTAACCCTAAAAAAAAATCATGCCGTTCCCGTTGCACAGCAGCAGCATACAGTATAACATTGCTTAAGAAGTTCTGGCAGGACTGGAATGGTTGTTAGAATGTTACTTTTACTTCCGGAGCCTTACTGCAGTCTATGATCTGACAGTTGTAGTGTTTGGGTTGTGGTTATGTTTAAATTGCTAGAAAAATATTTTTTTTTTATTGTTTAACTCTTACAGAGGGGAGCCCAGCCCTTTTCCTGGAGATGTACCTTCATGAAAAGTTCAGCTCCCCCAACACTCCTATAATCAAACACACCTAAACCAGCTAATTAAAACAGGTGTGAGCAGGGTTGGACCACAAATCTGCTAGTTCCCCAAGAACAGGATTTCTGCCTAAATTTACCTTTGCAACCAAAATGCATTACAATAATGTATCACAACTCTGGTATCAATGGTATTTCTGCAGAAAGCATTTTTACCATGGCACATTTTTGGCAGAATAATTGAACCATTCAGTGGGGGGATTTTGAAATGATGTACATTGTAATGTTTGCTGAAATGTTTTTTGTTTGTTTGTTTTGTTTTTTGTATATATATATATATATATATATATATATATAAGAACTTGCTCCAGGAGCTCAAGATGCTCAAACATCGAGTTGATGAGCTGGAACAAGAGAAGATGCAGTATGAGCAGAAACTCAAGGTGACACAGGTACTGCCACATAAATATAAATGATAAGTTTTGTGTCCTTTTTTAGGAATGGGCCCATATTTAAGTTGTTATTTACTTACAATCTTCCAATGTAGCGCTGAAATCTAATTTGTACTTGCTTATATTCAAACTTGTGATCAAAAGACAAAAGAGCTGCAGCAGATTGTCGATTAATAATGACTTAAATTTTGTTTTATTAAGACACATAAACCTATCATATTGATGGCTGCTAAATACTGAATGGATGTTTTGGTTTCATTTTCATTCTGTTTCTGATGTGCCGTTTTCCCTGAGTTCCCAGTAAGTCACTACAAGTTACTTCGGTGACAGACAAATTATTGTGCCGGAGAGCACTATCACCTTTGATTTTTAACAGACACTGCCAATGGACATTGGTGAGTAAGATTTGCATCGTGAACAATCCTCCATGCTGCGGGTATGGCGTGCAGACACACCCAGTAAGCTTTTGCTTCAGAGCCGAGCGTTTCTGCACTGATGAAGCTCTTCTTTCATATTAGTGGTCCTCATAAGCTGGAAGAGTTTCCTGTGTTGGTGTAATGGTGTGTCAGTGATGATTGCCTTCAAGAGAATCTCTGCAGAGAAAAAGCCTTTCTCTGCATGCTGTGCAGGGATCTTCCCCTGTGAACCTCAGCACAAAATAGTGTTTCCTCTGAAAGATGTGTTTGCATCTTTTTCAATGTCATTCCACCCGTGCATTTTTGGATGGGGGCGTTTCTTAGCCTTGAATGACAGTCACAATCACTGCCTTTTGTGTCTGGGTTGTAAGGAAGCTGAGGAAGCATTTGTGGATGAGTCATGTACCAACTGTGGGAAGATTTACATCTCAGTGCTGAGATCGAGACTCCAATACCTTCAAAGAGGTGGTGTCCCATCCGCTATCCGCTCTAATCTAGTTCTTCTGCCCAGCAGAAAACTACTTTGGTTGATATGCAGGGTGATCTGAGGATCACAGTAGGGGCTTTCCCACTGGGCTAATCCCCAGTGATACTCAGGTCACTTCACGCCATACATAATCCGGAAGAGCTCAATCGTGTAGCCAACATGCTCTCATGATATATCACACTCCTGGGAGAGTGGAGACTCCACTCCCAGGTGAGCCAGCTGATTTGGCATCGCTTTGGAGCCACTCAGGTAGACCTGTTTGCCTCTCCGGACACATACCACTACCATTTATTTTACTAACTGACGAGACCCTCGGCACAGATGCACTGGCACACACTGTGGTTTGTTTATTATGCGTGCAGGACAACCACCCATAAAAAACATTTCAATAATCGAGCCTTGAGGTCATGAACACATGAACTAACTGTTCCACATTTTTCATTGAAAGCATTTCGTGATTTAGATATATTCTAAAAAAAAATTAAGAATGCGGTTATATAGATGCAAGAAACGTGGCTTTCCAATGAAAGATTTGTATCAAAGAGCACACCCAGGTTCCTAACAGAGCAGCAATCAATTGTTAGGGTATTCTAGGTATGTGCAGAGGTTTTTTTGTCAAATCATTAGAAACTCTGAGGAAATTACTAGTCATTCAAATTTTGCTAATGAAAAAATGAAAACTAATCCCATGATTCCTATTGATATATACCAAGGGTAGCATGTACAGAGTGAACAGCAAGGGTCCTAGTAATGAGCCTTGTGGTACTCTATACTGTGATCCATAAGACATTTCTTCATTTACTGCTACAAACTGATAATGGTCAGATAAGTATGATTTAAACCATGCTAATGCAATTCCAATAATGTAACACCATTTTTGAGTCTCTTAAGAGAGTGCTCCTGACTGTGCTCACTTCCATTACAAGGGCCGAGGCCCTGCAAACAATTTATTTTTTATCAACAAAATGTGCCTGGAGTTCTGGTCAGCCTACTCTCACGTTATCCTAAGTCCCCACCACTCTTTTCAGGAACCAGGTGGTGAACTTCCCAGAGGAGACAGACCCAGCCCTAGCATCTATGTGCCCTGTGTGCTTTCTAAATCTCTATGTAGACCGTACACATTGTTTCTGGACCTCAGATCAGCTCTTTGTTATGGAGTCCAGCAGAAGTGAAAGGCTGTCTCTAAGCAAAGATTGGCGCACTGGATAGTGGATACTATTTTCTTGGCATATCAGTCCCAAGGCAAGCAGTGCCCTCTTTGGGTGAGAGCTTACTCAACTCTGAGTGTTACCTCCTCCTGGGCGCATAAAGACGTTAATCCCATCGCCAAAATCCCTGTGCTCACCACTAAGCATCGGGAACTGCTTGTTTCTTCAGTGAAAACGATTTGAGTTTCTCTCTGCACCCTTCCAATACACCCGCAGCACAGGGTGTGGTTTGCGATGCATATCTCACTCGCCAGTGTCCATTGGCTCTTTCTGTTAACACTCGAAGATGCTTTTTAGGCTTTTAGGCGAGATCCCAATTTGTCAGTCACTGACGTGATGTCTCCGTTCCCCCCTTCAGGGAAACAATATTTTTTACAAATAAACTGTACTTAATATTGTTTCTTTTATATAAAATATATATTTTACTAAATATGTTTTACTATAAAATTACTATAAAATCAAAGCCATAATATCTAACCAAGTTTAGAAAATTGAAGTTCCATGAGATTTTGTTTAGCCAAAAATAGCCATCGGGTGACATTCATTCCATTGAATGTAATTGTATGCATACTGTTGTAACAAATTAATACATTTCTGTCCAAATATCACTTCTGTCAAAAAATATGGAATCTTAAAACTCAAGATGAATATCCTGGTATTAGGTCATTTAGGATAAAATGATACCTCATTTATGATAACTACTAAATAGGTGATGTAATAAAAAAACACGTAATTTCAAAAGCAGCTGAACGTAGCGTTGTCATGCTTGGTACAACATCTTTAAATGTCACCATATTCTAGCCAGTGTCATGATATAATCCACATTTGACCCAATATCGAGTTTAAATGGACATACGTGCATATAGACCATTTCACAAGATGTAAACAACATTGGTCCAGAAACACTTCCTGTTTCAGTTTGTAACTGTTTTCTTTATTTCACATGTAAAGAAAACATCTTAAAGATGTTGGTTTAACTTTTTGATTCAGTTTTAAATGTTCTGTTGGTTGTATTTTATCCCAGCTTTTATGTAGCGTTAAAAAACTGAAACAGGAAGTGCTTCTGGACCAGTGTTGTTTACATCTTGTGAAATGGTCTATTGTACAGTAACGGTGGTCAGTACGCGTTCTTCCGATCATTAATTAGAATGACCAAATCGCATTTCTTATTGACAGATGAATAGGCTACGCTCAGTTTATTAAATAGCCTACGTCTCAGTTTATCAAATATGGTCAGTTTATTAAATATCTCTTGCAAACTATGAAGAGACAATGAATCAATACACTGACATGGTGATGCTAGACTGATACTTTGTTAACACAATCCTAACCGTAATTTCATAACCGTCACTCCTCTCCACTATGTCTGGCATCAGGGGTGAACGTTTACCTCGATAAAGTTAGGCCTACTGTAAAGGAAAGTCTTGAGAACAGTTGTCAAAAACAAAAGTTTGATGGTACTTTACCTCACAGTGTTATTCAGCAATCTAATGCTGAGCTTTCAGAGACGCTTAAGATGAAACTTCACGAGACTGGCGAGATGCCTCCACAGGGCGGGGAGATACGCTGCGTGATTGACAGCTTTGACAGCAAATGGATATATACTTGTAATTCAGATGACATGTTTCACAGCTTTTTATTGGTCATTTAGATAACGTGAAGCATGCTGTATACGGAAATGAACCTGGATTTTCTATCCGTCGAAAAATCTCAAAATCGGCAAAATGGACATATGCGGTTCCCTATCGAGGGAACTCAACACTGCGTCGATAAAATCGACTCTTTGGGGACGCTCCCTAAGCGTGCGCCTCTGAAGTATGAATGAAACTAATCCAATCCTGATTGGTGTTGCGTCGTGACGTAACATGTGACGGCATACCCGGAAGTATAAAAGTGACGCTGTCACAACACACACTAGCTTTCGCTCTTCAGCAAGCGCTTTATGTTGAAACTGTCTGTCTTATTTGGTGTTGTTTGTCTTATTATTGAAAGAAAGTATGGCCAGTGAACAATTCAAGAGGTGTGTGCATCCCTGCCCTCGTTTTATCACGGGTGGGGACGCACACTCTCTCTCTGTGTATTGTTTGGGAGTGCAGCACGCACGGGCAGCTCTCGAGGGGGCTGCTTGTGAAATGTGTGAGGCTTTGCCTATTAGAGTGCTGCGCTCCCGGCTGGCGTGCTTTGACGAGCACGGTCAGGCTCGCGTTCCCCAGGGTTCCGGTCCCGCATATGTCGAGGCGATGCGGCGACTGAGATCCTGGGGTTCGCAGTGGGATCTGGTGGAGGAGAGTGAGAATGTTGAGGCATTTTCTCGCTCGCCATCGGCTGATCCCGCAGCCTCTGAGAGTGGTGTGGGAGCCCGCGCTGCGGTTTCTCCTACCCGCGATCAGGTCCCGGTGCTTGAGCTGTCTACTTCTGAGGAAGGGGACGTGCTCAGCATCGATGCGGACGACCGTGATCTCAGCACGCCATCACGCGGCCTGGGTTATGAGGAGCTGGTGGAGGTTGTGACACGCGCTGTGGCCAGACTAGACATCAGCTGGCCACAACATGAGCAGGAAACGCAAGTCACCAGTAAAATGGACGAGCGTTACCTGCAGCGCAGGTCACAGCCTCACCGCCGGGGTCTGCCGTTTTTCCCTGATCTCCATAAAGAGATCTCGAGAACGTGGGAAAGACCGCATTCGTCCCGTATTTCGAGTCCCAATGTAATAGATTACAGCAATGTTATGGGGGCTCGAGATATGGGATATGGGAAGATGCCGAAGGTGGAGGAGGCTTTAGCGAGCTATCTCTCTCCCGAATCGGCGTCTTCCCTAAAGACCCCGGTGTTGCCTAGTAAGCCCTGCAGAGAGACATCTGCATTGGTGGGCAGGGCTTACATGGCGG